TCCTTGTTTACGACCACGAAAGAGAAACAGGGATGTATGATAGATCGCTTCTTCGGGACCCTATTTCTCGAGACTCTTACTTTTGCGTAGACGTCACTCGTCCGCCCTTTTTATCGACTTTTTGTCAAGTTTTTGTCGAGTTTTTGTCGACGAGTTCTTGCCTCTCTTTCTCTTTCTCTTTCTCTTTCTCTTTCTATTCCATTCCCTTTTTCATCTCTCAAAATACATGAGATCTATATCTAGATACGTTCGTATGAGTGCTCTATGTATAAAAGTTTAAGTGTGAAATTCGTCGTTCCTGAAATGACTAGCTAAACCCACAAATAACTATACTGACCTGTTTAAATAAGAAACAAGGTTTCTTTAGCTAAAGCATCAAGAGAATAGACTTAATGAAAAAATTGAAAGCAATGTTCGTTTTCGATTATATTTTTTTGGTACATATTGTTATAGATTTAGTTTTTGCATGTGCGATGCGAAATGCTAACACGGTGTCCCTCTTCAACTATATATATATATATATATATATATTACACGTGCGTGTTACACATCCCTATATAAGCCCGTCGTTCATAAAACTCTATTGGAGCACCGGCAACAGGATCTTCAAAGCTTCGCCAACACAACGACCACTGCTACAAAGGACTATTTAGCCGTTCGTTTGATCGTTTAAAAGTGTGTGTAAATTATTCGTTTCCTTGCTATTTAGGAAGGATCAAAAATAAAGCTCGTTAAGGAGTAACGAAAGTAGAGATGCTTTGACGAAAGGAAAGTTCATCGATCGCGTTGCTTCGTTAACAGCAAACAAAAATATCCGATGTTATACGTACCAAAGAAAACTTTCTACATGTAAGGAGAATGACGAGTTTACTCGTAATCAGCGAGTTTATCTTGTTAATAGAAATTCGTTTCTTAGCTCTTCTTGAAACAACTAAGAAATATAATTAATGATAGATTACCTGAGTGTCTTTGCCGAGTTTGCTTTCTTGTCGCTTTCCTCCTAATGTCGTGTAACTTGACAAAGAAATAATAATCGAACCTAGTAACGATTGCTACGTTGCCTTCGTATACGCCTACTCTCTTTTTCTACATTTTTTCCCATTTTTTCCTCTCACCCTTTCTCTTTTTTTTCTTTTTTTTTTTTTTCTTTTACTTTTTATGCTGTCCTCCTTACTTCTTTCTTCTTTTTTCTTCCTTTTCTGACGACACTCCGCGTAATTACGTCAAAAATGAAAGAAAAGCGCTCGAGGGGGAAACCGTTTTCATAAAAGGCGACCCGTTTTATTATATGCAGCCCGGGCGTTATTCCAATGGAGAACGGACAACTTTCTACGTAGAAGGGTGAAAAAAATAAGGACGACTGTATTTTCTTTCTTACACTTCTTTTCTCTTCGCTCTTTCATTCTTCCTTTTATTTTTTCCTCCATATTTTTTTTTTTTTATTTTTTCCCTTATTATTTTTCTTTCTTCTTCGATCACGATGATAGTAGCATAGAGTTGACATTTTGAAAGGATTTTTCGAGAGTCAACCGTAGGATCAACGAAAGACCGTTACATGCTATTACTGCTCGACAAAATCATATGTCTACTATTATATTCATTCGAGCAGAGTTTATTTTCTTCCTTCGTAATTAGCATCAATCTTGACAGAATTATATGAAAAGAAAAAAGGTCGTTTAATTAACCTGACTTTCATCTAAAAGTCTTGTAGACTTAAGGACTTTGTTAATCATCTTTAATCAGTTTGAGATACACATGTGCAGATAATGTGGGACTATTTAGTTTGCCGTAGTAATATGCACCTTCGATAGTTTGTCGATATATTCGTCAAAGGTAATAAATGTAAGCAAATTGGGAAATGGTGGAAGAAGCAAAGAGAAAAATGTTTCTTCCTCGTCCGATGTGGATGTCTGGTAAAACGGGAGACAGTGTCGTAATTACGCGATTCCCCTGGGGTTCGAGGGTGAATGTAGCTTAAACGAGGGTGTTCACGATTCCAAGTCACTCAGTCAATTTTTAATTCATTCCGAACGATTTTTCTCTCCTACCAATCTAACCTAAGCAAAGTTTTTTCCTTTTTATTATTATATTTGGAATTTCCACATCTAAACACGTCTGCTCGGAAGCTAAGAAGAACGACGACTGAAAGCCTAGATTTTACAATTAATAAATATAAGATTGACATTTGATCCAGACATGAGAAAGTCTGCTTTTCTTTCTTCGTATTTTAGAAAGCAGTATTCTATAGGACACGAAAGGACTACGGATTAAATCTCAATTTCATATACGTTAACAACTCTCCTCTCGAAAATTCATATATTTTACCAAATGAAAGTACGTAATCTTGCCTTCTTTTATATTTAAACAAATCAGTATAGTTATCTGAGAGTTTAATTAGTCATTTCACGAATTAACGCACATTCACATTATATATATATAACGCATATCTAGATACAAACATATAAGCGGACTAATGCGAACAATGGTATCGAGGTATCCAGTAAACAATACGTTCGGCACGATTCAGAGAGCAACGTTCACCGGTGCTTTCGCGCAATTCTGCCGTCCGCTTTTGCAACAATAATTCATCAGGCAACGTTCGCACGAACCTGACAGCTTTTCCCCCGACGGCTGCACGTGCACCCCCGCCTGCGTTTTATACGCTTTGGAAAATGTTTTATGGTCGTAGCCTGATTGTACAGTCATCATCCTTCTCTTTCCATCAACGGTGTCCGCCCTTTCTCTCTTCATTCTGCGCTCTTCGCGATAGCCATCCTTTATATTTCTCTAGATTTCAGCTTTTTTCTTATCATTATTATTGCTCAATACTATTGCTTGTAGTCATCTATCGTTTTCATCTTTTCGCTTATACAAGTAATAGGAAATAAATTAGTAAGAAAAAGAACAGCACCTTTCAGTTTCTGTGATCTCTGTCTAGGCTGCTTGTTTAATTAAGAAGGAAAAAAAAACGTGACAGAACAAAAATACATCTTCTTCATTGGATTAACTTCATTATGCGGTCGAGCGAGTTTCTTTCCTTTACTTACATATTTCTTTTTTCCAGTACCGTACGTACCGTGTAGACGACGTTGTAGAAGGTAGGAAGGGTAAAGCTTTTTATATTGAAATAAAATTCTAACTAGAGAACAAATTTTAGACGGTGTATGCATTGATAAATTCATGACGACTGAAAGATACACAAGAGAGAAAGAACACAAGGAAAACTTGACACGATACGTGAATTTTTCGAGTGGCGAGAATGCGTCGAGAATGCGTCGAGAAAGACTCTTGACATGTTTTACCACGTGTCATCCCTCTCGTCCTTTTCCTACACAATCTACACAAATCATTTTTCCTTTTTTCATTAAATCACGTACTTTTTGCTTCTGCTTTTGAGATGTATTTGAGAGGCATCGCGAAACAACAGGTAAATCGTTCAGTATAGTTATGGTAGTGGTAGTAGTAGAAGTAGCAATGTAGTAGTAGCAATAGCAAAATAGTAGCAGTGGCAGACTCCTTGTACTTCACAGAAGTTGTTTTCTAACAAATGAAAGAAAAGACGAAGATTCTGAAAATATCACTTTCTTGGCATGGTTAGAACAAAGCGGCCGAGTCCACAATTATATAGGACAATACCGCGAAATGGTAGCGTAACAAAAGGAGGAAAAAAGGGCTAGGGTTTACTCATTCGCTCGACCGTCGACTAGAAAGAGGAAGAGCGTAGAAACGCGGCCCATTGTTTCCGGTAGCAGGTGTTATTTCGCGAATGGTACTGTTATCGTGCATTCTCTCGCAGAGTCGTGCATTTCGCGCAAAAAGAAAGAGAAAGGAAGGAAAAGAGAAAGAGAAAGGTAAAGAGAAAGAGAAAGGTAAAGAGAAAGAGAGGGTGCAGAGGGCAGTATACGTGGTTTATTCAGAGGTGGTCATGCGCTATGTTCAAAGGGCCATTACGAAAATGACCATTAAAATAAATTACTCTCATCGTGGCATAGGACTCGATGTCCTTCCATTCCCTCCAGTTTTCTCCCTCTACGCTCCCTCTACGTTCCAACCGATGCAGTCTGCGAATACGTGACGCAGAAATGGTCGGTCGTACGAATCAATTTGCGTAAATAATAGATTACGGTAGCAACGGATGTGCTGTGAATTTTCTTGAAAATTCAATGTCCAGTTCTAAGTGCCGGTATTATCAACATTTTTTCTGCTATATTAAAGCATGCATTAATATAGGAATTTTACTATACCTTAATAACGATACACATTACGTATATCTACGATATCTACGATACAGGGATAAAAGGGCTAGAAGTGCGCTCGCAGATGCTCTCAAAGTCTACAGAGTCTAAGATCTCTTTGCAACATGATTTGAAATTTATAAAATATTGTCTCCGCATTAATAGATGCGATAGGTATCAAGTAAAAGTCCCAGCCCCTTTTTTTAGCGTCGAATCAACGAATTACTTCTTAATTCGGAAACCGATAAATTTCATTTGTCCTCTTTTATAATAAAGAGAACAAAAGGAAGAATATACTTAGAAAAGTTAGGCAAACGCAGCGTCGTTCATAGGTGGGATAAAAGTGCCCCGGTACATTGGAATCCTTTTTCCTCCCGATTCAGCAAATATTGACGTTTGCGAATTGAAATTTGCATGGACAGCGAAATTGGGAAAATATTTCCGCTCGTAAAGGAAGGCAGCAGCGCGGGTTTTCCCTCCTTTATTTTTTCCCTTTCCCTGTACCACCCTGGGGAGAATAGCACTGACCGAGGAAAATGCGCGCGGCCTTAAATTTAATATGACGCGTCTTTGGATCGACGCGTCTTGGTTCTTTCTTCTTCTTCTTCTTCTTCTTCTTCTTCTTCTTCTTTCTTTCTTCCTTCCTTCTTCTTCTTTCATTTCTTTTCGTCCCTCGAGTCGAAGTTTATCGAAGAGCAGCAAAAAACGAAAGGAAGAAAGAAGACCAAGTTCCTAGTGACGGAAAGGTTTGTGTGTGTGTTTCAGGGTCCGGTCGGGGAGGTGGGCGGCGTTAGGCTGCCACTGCAATCCTTAAATGGATACGGGTCCTTGTTCATGTACTCGTCGTTAACGAGTCCCAACGGTGGTGGCGGCCAGGCTACTGGAGGCGGGGGCGAAGTCACCCTCCGCCTCCGCGAACCGGAGGACATACCGGAGGATGTGCTCGCTCGTCTCGACGACACTGCCACCCTTTCCATCTCCCTTCAAGGCGATGCAGTCCTGAGGCTAGGGGCGGCTGCCGCAGGTGAGAGTCTCTCTCTCTTCGCTCAATTCGTTAAATCACCGACTGACTACTAACAACTCTCTATCCGACTGTTTTTTACCTTCCACCATTTATTATAAGAATTTTAATACGAAATTAATTAGTCAAGAACCATTTTTAATTTTATAGTCCAACTTTTGTAAGAATTGTTGTGTAATATTCCAAAATAAAGTCTAGCAAAAGCGAACGTGCTCGGGGAGGAATTCTTCCTTGTGGAACAAATCGGAGGACGATCGAGCGTTAACTTCCGGACGATTTGTCAGAGCCAAACCAACGACGATCTGGCTCTACCATTTGCTACGATAAATCCCGGATTTTCATAACTTTCTCTCAGCAACTATCCCGTTTCTTTTTTTTTCTTTTTCTTTTTCTTTTTCTTTTTCTTTTTTTTTTTCTTTTGCTATCCTTCGCAACAGCATTGCCAAGGGCAAGTCTTCCTCTTCTCTCCTATTGGTCTCGCATCGTATTCTTTAAAAGTCTCCATGGGAAGAAATGAAAGAAATATCTTTTTCTTTCTATTCTCTTCTCCTTTCCTTTCCACTCTCGCGACTACTTCGAAAGAATTTCAAGCTAAAAGAGATTTATCGCAGTTGCGGCTTGGTAAGTCCACAGAAATTTCTGTAAAAGTCGACGATTAAGGAAATTCAATGAAATGAATTCTGAATTGTCATACTTAGGATGCAAATTCCCAACCTAGATTTCCCATTTTAATTAGAATCCTAGCACTTGAGCATAAATATCGAAGCTGCGAAAAGAAAATGTCCACGTGCTCCGTTCGATCGGATTCTATCGGAGTAAACTGAACCGAATGAGAGTAGGAAAGAAATTAGAGGAAAGGATATGCACATGCGAAACTTCTTATGTAGAAAACTTTGCGGAGGAAGCAATTCTCGTTATAACTTGGAAACTGTAGAAACTTAAACTGCCGCGAGTCGAAGATTCTAAGAGGGGGAAAGGTGAACGTTTTGGCCGTTTTCCAACGCGGGACAATCGTTTGTTCTTTTCGTAGCTTCCTTCTCCTTCTTTCTTTCCCTTCCTCTTTAGCTACGCCTTTTACAAAAGACCACTCTTTTTTTGACCATTTTTCTTTTCGATCGGATCTAACTAGCCTCATCTTACGTCCTCCTTGTTCTTTACCGTCAAATAATTCCAACTTGGACTCGTAAATCTGTGAAGGAAAGACGACGCAATAATCGAATTGAACAGAGAAACTTTATGAAATTAATTTTACGTGTATTTTTTCTTTTTTTCTTTTTGATAGTTTTTATATGATTTTCCAGGAAAAAAGTTGAAGAGCGAGAGAAATACTCAGCGATTATAATCCTTGCTCGATCGCATCTCATTTTGTAAAGGCCGTTCTCAAACGAGCACGGTTCAGCCATAGTTCCCGAGACATTAGGGCCATTATCCTGGTGTCACGTACTTAAGAACGGGTTGAAGGACTCGTAGACCTGAGGCTACGTGTGCGCAAGTCGAACACAAAGTCCCAGCATCGACCTTATCGCTATTACCATCATCACCACCGGCGTCGTTCGCATCGTCGGTTTCCACTCTTCGTAAAAGGCATGAAGGGGTGAAGTTCGATGCTCGGAATGTGCAACGTTAGCCGAGAGTCTCGCGGAAAAGCTGCACATGAATCTCTATGTTTTCTTATTATATTGAGGATATTTAAATAATATTGTTTAATTTATTATTTTAATTGCAAGATTAAAGAGAGAGAGAGAGAGAGAGAGAGAGTAGAACGTAAAATGCAAAGTGCAAAGCTTAAACCCCGACGACTATGCGCGCGCACGAACTTGCTCTTGTTCTTCGTTAAAGCCGTTTACGTTTTACGCGCGGTCGAGCCACTAATTTCCCTCCTTCATCTTCAACTTTCTTACCTTCCTTCCGCTCGGGACAGAAAAATACTAATTCTAGATCTTTCTATTTAACAATAAGTAAGAGTACAAACGTATTGGAAACAATCCTATATATACTCCCATATAATACAATACAACTATGGAAAAAATTATACTTGAGGCATAAAAAAACAGGGTGACTAGCACGCTCCCTGAAAGTAAACAAGTAGTGACCCGTGTATCTGACATCGTCCTTTTACTGTCGATCTTGACGCTTTTTCATCGGGGTTAAACGGAAAAAGATCAAAGGCAGAGGAACGTGCACGCGTTTGCTTTCCACCAACACCTTAATAAGCGTATTCCATCTATAACCACACTGATGCATTTTGCATTGACTTTGTAATTGTAAATTTTCTCTTGCACCATACTCCATCGCCTGCTCTACAATATCCTATCAAATCTTCAATAAAAGCAGATCGCACTTATTTCTCTCGTCGGGTCTTTTAATGTATTTTTTTCCTTTTATAGTAAAGAATAAATATAATATTTGTTAGAAATTTCTTTAATTAGAATTCATTAAAACGTATTTGTTTCGAGATTAATTTTGATTGGACGGTAAATGGATTTGTCATCTATCGGAAGAACGTTCGAAACGATTTCTTCCGGCGGTGAGCATAGACGCGCGTGCAAACGTTTCTAACGAGACCTTAGCGTTTCGTATAACGACATTGGGGCTCTCGCCTCGCATCCGTATTTACCGTTGCTGAGTTCTCATGAGACTCGTACGGAACTGGCTATAACCTGCGGCGGCATGCTCGCACAGCCGGTAGCTGTGTATAGAACATATAGATAGTCTCGATTCGTCTAGACTACATTTACTAGCATGATATCAAGTCACGTTGCTTGATAGCTGTCATACAACAGGCTATTATAGGGGGTAACTGCCTTCGCTTTTCTGCCACTGGGTTACCGGCTAAAACAGGAGAGGTGTGTTCAGCACATATTTACTTCGGGTTTACCGCGATATTGCCATACAACCGAGGATACGGATATTCATTGCATGGACACGGATACACTTTGCCCTTTCTCTTCCCCTCCACAATTATTTCCATTTCCTCCATCGAAAGGGAGTACAATTTTTCTAATCGATCTTTCAAATTTGTTCTTACAAATATAGACAACCAATAGCAAATTGGTTCAACAACTGATGCCTTATTACCTATTCGAGGATATCCTTTTACGTCTGACGAGTTTCTCCATACTACATGTTAAACGTTCGAATCAATATTAATGGGCGTGGTTCTGGGAAGATAATCAAATCCTTTCCGTTTGTTTAATCTAGATTAGAACAAAGTGTTGTTACTTTTTTTATAATGACAATTTCATTTTGACTACTCATGTGTACTACCTACGTGGTAGTATTGTATTTTTGAAACATGCGACACGACGTTGTAAAGTTGATATACCTTGGTATACCTTGAATCGAGCGTGTAATTATCAAGCGAGGATGTTATGAAGCAAGCACGGTGGTTTAAAATTTGAATTACCTCGGCTCGGGGACGAAAGTCGCGGTCCTTGCGCGAATAAAGCTATTCGCGGTATTAAGCCATTAGACCGCAACGAGAGTTGATTAAGTGTACTACTAGCCGAGATTGTGGACAAACTACGTACGTCGTTATCTACGACAAACGACAAGAAAGAAACACGCGGGACACGGGTGGTTGGCTCTGCTGTTTCAGACTTTGCTTTTCAAAGCCGACAAAAAAAGACCACCCAACTAAATTTTCTCTTCCCTTTCTCTTTCTCTCTCGCTATCACTATATTTCTAGCCACAAGGACTTAGAAACATTTTAATAGAAAATTAGATATTCTCCTTATAAGGCTAATAATGAAGAATCACGAAGATCAATAGTGAAAAATTAGCGAAGGAGATTCGATCGAATTTATATGTTATTTCTCGTTAACAACGTTATTAAAGGAGAAACAAAACTCATTTAATACCGCTTTGTTGTTGTTCCTATTGACGATGCGACTTTGTACCATAATATTACTGATAATGATCCTAGTTAATCGTTGGCATCGTTTTGAAAATGTAAGAAACAATGGCATTAATTAACTATTCATTACGCGTTCTGGCGTGGATAGAATACTGGCTGGACGCATCGATAGATGCACAAAAGCAATGCGCGAAAAGCCCTTTGATATCTTCGCGAGGACAATTCGATGCATTTTGGAGAACGTTCACGCACAGTCGAACGTTCCCTTTTGTTGTGTGCGAGGAATCGGTCGGATTAGCGAGCTATAATTTGTCATGGTATTACCAAAATGGATTAGCGTTAATAGCACCAAGCTTGAATATTGCTTCAAGCGTAGCGATCGGAACAATGTGATAGCAAATTGTTAAAATGACGAGGAGAGAATATTGAGTATCGTGATTGTAACGATATTCGAACTATTACACGTGTCTCATTGGTGCATCGTATGTATTAAAAACTAATTCATTTCAAATTAATCGAACATTCTTATAAATGTTCTCTAGTATACGATGAAAAAGAAATAAATTGATATGTGATCATTTTAAAAGGCTACGAACATGCATACCAAACTCGTATCAGCCAAATTATTTTTCAGCGCTCGCGTGCAGGATAGGATTTTAATTTGCGATAGAAACTGACTTTGGTCAAAGGGATGCCTGCCTGCCTGCCTGCCTGCTTGCCTGCTCGCCTGCTCGCCTGGCTTTCTCCTTTTTCACCATCACATCCAGAAACTGCTCGATTTAATTAATGTTCGCTTCATAGGCAGTCTAAACCCCTCGCTGAGCATCGTTCGGTGTAGCCTTGTCTATAATTAAGGGAGAGTTTTTCGCCTACTATACGAATGAAATTACGTTCATCCGTAAATTGCGTTTTCTTTCGTTAAATCATAATGACCCTATTTTTCGCCGAAAGAACAAGTATTATTAAATATTATTTAATTTCAACTTGAAGAACAGCAAATTAAAACAATAGATAAAAGGTGAAACATTTGTTAAACATTTGTTAAACATTTATTTAACTCGCTAAAGCATGGAAAAACGTTGATAATATTTTTCAAATTTCTGTTAAAAAATATGCTCTTAATAATCTCCAAAATATATCGACACTTGCTCTTTTGTGCTATTGAATTTCTTGATTTTTCGCTTTGTTTGCTGTTAAGGGAGTGATCGGTAATGTAGTTCCGAACAAATTGGCCCTTGAGGTGCTCTACAAAATTCCACCTCTTACCGTCGTGATGTCGCCTCCTTCGCTATTTTCCATTCACGCTTCTCTTCATCATAGTACCTATATCGTATTTTACTTCGTGTTATACACATTTTCATTTTCCTACAAGTTGTATTTATATTGTATATTTTGTTTGATCGTTAATCAATCAAAATGTACATATTTGCGCTTACTTATATAGAAAAGATAAAAGAAGAAGGATAAACAATTGTTATACATCTTGACTCGTCTCGAGTGGTTCTTAATGCAGATTCAACTGAAGATACCACTTAGTGATCTTTTCAACGTAGATCATCTTCTCGAGGTGTGGTACAAAGAGAATTTTTAATGAAAGTTCTTTACATTCTCGAAAGGAATCCCTTTTGCAAACCACTTAGCACACCTTAACGTGTGTACTGATTCACGTGAAGATATAAGATAAGGTCTTTAAGTAGACTTCTTCTAATCATTTGTAGAACGAATCGATTTAATAATACGATAAGCTTCTAATAGGAAGGAAGAAAAGATGGTCCGAGGAGGAGAATCGTCGTTTTCACTGGATTCGTTTCACTTTTCCTCTTTCATCGTATTATGATAAATACAAACTAGGGAGAGTAAAAGAGCGATATATGTGTGTGTGTGTGTGTGTTTGTTCGCTGATCGCAAATTGACTTCGCTATTGAAACAACAAAGAAACGAAAAGAAAAAGCGATAAAAAACGAAACGTTTGATAAACTTGAAGAAACTTCTTAATGAGAATAGTTATCGCGTGTAGCAACATATTACAAGATAGTTTTCATTTAATCGAAGCAATGAGTATAGACAGAGACTAACGAACATCCTTCGTAAACGGGGAGTATGGCATGGGCGAGAAGGATTTGTGCGCCGTTCCGCTTAAAATTATGTCGTCGTGATGATGCGAAAACGTTGTTAATCGACAATCACGAGAACGATTGTTTGCCATCCTAAATAACGGCTTTAATTGCGACACATTAACTATAATAACACGATTATCGCGCTCTTATCGCGCTCGCCACCGTTGATTACTTCTCGTCCCTGTCATCCGTTACATATTGATCGATATAATTTGATGTTTGTTTTTTGAAAAAAGAAGAAGAAAAAAATAAACAAGCATGAAATTTATTGCAAAATCTTTTTTTTTTTACTCGGAACCACCAGCACTACCATCAACAGCATTTCTAGAGGATAGGTATTTTGACAAAGCCGACACGAAATCGAGCAGATAGATAGTCGAGAAAGGTCGCTTTCTCCAAGTCGGCTTCGCCCGAGACAAGAACAAGAATAGGACGAGGACTAGGCAAAGGAGTTTGAAGTTCTCAAGACACTAGAACGGTGTACGGTCGAGATAATGACTGGAGCTTATGCTATACAAAGGGAAAATAGCAGCCGTGGCTCGGACTTTGAACGCGACATTTGTGCGCTATGGTTGGAAGTTTCGTAATACGCCGTGATACGAAAGATAGTAGGTACTGGCAGATCTACCACTAAGGATTGTTCTCCTTAACCGAATTTACATATCTTCAATCTTACCAAAAATTCATTTCTTTGTCTTCCTTTTTGTGTTTTTATTACGTAAGAGTAGAGTACATTCTCTACTTCGTTTTCAGGCCATTTCTCTTGATCCCTATCGGCCAAATACTCGAAACAAACGACGTTTAATGGCATTTTCGCTAACACCAGCGAAACGTTAATTTATCAAAGGGAGAAAGAAAAAAGCGATTATTAAATGGAAGGGTGGTATAGGGCTTCGTTAGAATAACACGTATTGCGGTGCTAGCGGCATCATCCAGTTTTGGATGAGATGAGACTAGAGTAAACGATATTTACGAGGTTGGGAGATCGATAGCAATTTAGCCACCCTTCGCTGTAGGAACCGAACGCTACGGGTGGTAGGTAACCCGCCTCCTCGTAACCATCTACCGTCTCTTTGCATCTCTGTGCAACATGGCCTAGTCGGAACTCATCCATATACATTGGGAAAATTAATATCTGCCTTCGTTCGTTCGTTCGTTCGTTCGTTCGTTCGTTCGTTCGTTCGTTCGTTGGCTTCGTTCGCGCACCGAATAAACTCGCTCCCGAGTTTTCTCCTCTTTCTGCTTTACTCTCTGTTTCTCTCTTTTTCTCGCTTTACTCTCCTTTCGACGATAACGATCGAATCTCTCGTCTTATTTTTCTACTTTTCCAATCTCCTCGTTTTCTCGACTACGACTACGACTACGACTACGACTACGACTACGACTACGACTCACCTTTCGAAGTAGCTTGCAAGATTTACGTTTCTCTCTGCTCCTTCGTCTTTTTAAACGAAAATTAATTAGAAAAAGTTTAGCCCAATAACGTTATTACGTCCCTCGTTCGACGTTAAATGACGAGGATGCGTCAGGGTTGCGTCGTCCCTTTCTCTTTTATTATTCGACAACGTTGTAACGAAAGGTAATGCCCAGCATATATATATATATATATATATATATATATCTGAACCGCTTATATTTACATATTTAACTAACCCAAGTAGGGAGATGCTACTGCGTAAGCATTAACGCAAACACAAACGCATCATTTCGAATATATTCATTCCGACACATACTCTCGCACACTACGCACCATACTATAAATGCTAACGTATACCTGAATGCATAAGGTATCACGCACCACACCGGCTCGAAACGTCGATAGTCGTAAGCTAAAATTTATATATGTATGCTTCGTAAATTATTGTCCATGTCGCAGGTGCGTATATACGCGTCCTAAATGGCTGACTAAATAATGGAATAAAATATTTCTTTTCCTTTTTTTATAACTTATAATGCAAATCCTTATCACCACAAAGATCTTGCTTACTCCGTGAACTTGGATAGCGTCGAAAATGGTGGTATGCTATTTTTCGCTCGATGTTACAAATCAGAGACGTTAATAACGCAACGTGTTCACATTAGGTACGATGCCAATTATTTAGATGGCACGCGAAGAATCTTGTTCGTTTGTCATCGCGTTGTTTTCCAAGCTCGGGGTCGCTCTATGTTTGGCATCGGAAACTATTTCTTTCACGATGTTCTATAGAATAAAACACGTTGCCCCTATTAATTAAAAATTGTGAATGTTTCGTTTTTCAGGAAATGGCAGCTTGGAGCTGTTCGATAGCGAGAGTGGGCCGGATCTCACGTTATCGCCGCAAACCTTTACATCAACGGCGGAAGCTTTCATCAACGATAATAGCGATAGCCTCGGTGTTCCGGGAGACAACGATACGGGTAAGTTAAGGTCTCGATCGAGATCGATACTAGAAAATTAGTAGTATTGAGTTAGAGCATTAAAAAGGAATTTGGATGTATTAATAAATTACGCAATCTCTTCAAGTAAAATACTTGTTAAAAGCATAATATGCGCCACATAATTGTACATAAATGCTTGAAAAGGCATTTATGTTATCAAATGATAAATGATTATAAAAGAAAACATTGTGGGTCATTCCATCGTGGTATTACTCTCGTGGACAAGAGAATACAGAGAGAAAAGAGGAATAAACGGGATCGCGATAGCTCTGATGAAACCGGAGACAATACATTAACGTGATTGTAGCATTCTCTGAACTCAGTAACACGCGATGGTTGGCTGGATGGTTGGAACACGTTCGAGACAAGGTATAACTAGTTCGAACAAGTCGACGGAGAGACCATTTCCGCGCATAGTACCGCGCGTAGTAACGCGCGCGCGACATATAAAGCCTATTGTTTCCGGCACGCAAAAAGGACCGAGTTCCACGGAATCATGCATTGTTTACGGCGGGCACGCATTGCTCCGGTAATCAAGATGCCTGCTGCTATCCTTAAAAGCACCTTTCAATTTTCGATTAATAGTATATTGCAGGATGAAACATCTCCGCGGCAAATATAATCATCAATAAATTCGACAGATCGCTTTTTTTCGCGAATAATCCTATAATATTCTAGAATCGTTTAAATGGCTTTGCGTGTAGTATTCTATGGATATATACCGAAGCGTACCGCGAAAAGGCCTACGCAGTTTACATTTACACTTTACGGGATTGATTTGACATGGAGTACTTGTTCTCGCGAGAGGTCCCAGTCGAGTTATGAAAGAAATGAACAATCGTTTTTGCGAATAAACAGCTTTCCAAAAAATGGAACACGATATTACATTCCACGAAAGTTTTAATTATAGATGAAATGTATTTAAAGTATTTCCAACGCAAAAGATATATTGAAAACAAATCCTCTCTCTTTTTCTTTTGAAGACACGAAACGCATGCATCGTTAACTGCGCTCAACTAATAACGACGAATTAGCAAATACTATCCATCCGTTTCTCCTTTCATTGGAATTATTGTAATTTCAAAGAACGATACGTAGCATATGTGGAAAACTTGAGCGAACTCAAATGCGGTATTGTTTCTCTTCTTTTTTTCATTTTTCATCTTTTTCAGCATTCTTCTTTTTTAAGAATCCTTCGTCGAAAAGAAATCACTTTGCTCTAGAGAGTTTTCTCCGTGAGAGAAACAGCTGTGAGCTTTCGAACGCGTCGGGATTACGTTAAAGTTTATGGATACCTTATCCAATCTCTCAAACAACCATCAAATTCCAGAATTATAGCGGACATCGTCTAGCCTAACGGATAGTTCACTTCCATCTTGCCTAGAGATCACTCGTAAAAGGTCTCATTCTATGAAACACGCCTGCTGCTGGAAGTCTTACTTTGACTTTGACTTTGACTTTGACTTTTTCTTCTTTCATTCATTCATCGGATTTTGAAAACGCGATAAAGCATGAAACAACGCCAAAACTTTGAACATGAGGTCTGATAGCATGGATGTATGCTGTTAGTATGCATAATAATATTTATGTATGTAGGATTTTTTTCTTCACAAATAATTGAATATCGAAAGCAAATTTGAGAAAGGAGAAAATTGATCGTCGAAGGGTCCTTGGGAGAAACGGAAAAATCATGCAAAAATGATGCAAAAATGATGCATTGCAAAGGTAAACGTAGCAAATAGTCAGCAGCAAACAGGTCTTCTTCTCTTTCTTTCCTCCATTACTCGTAGAAATTTAATTGAAGATAACGTAAAGCTTTTTTCAAACGATTTTTGTCGATTAGATGACGCAAAGAGAGTAAAGAAGAATAGAAGAAACGTTAGTAGGAAGCAAAAACGTCCAGATGGCAATTTGGTGGACGGTTCAACCTACGAAGGGGAGGTTGAAAAAGGGTACGCGGCTAAGTGCCTGTTTGCCGATATTTCTTTGCAACCTAATGCTAGGATAAGGATAGGATTTTCTACTAAAGTCTACGGTATACTCGAAAACGATTGCCTCTACTTTCAATGCTAAACTAAAAAGGAAGAAAGATTAAAACGTGTATTACTGCAAAATGCGATATGATAAGAACAATTCGATCTACAAACTTCATGAAATATTTAAATATTAATCTCACACTAATAAATGTAATGTTGAAACCAATCAAAGAGATTTTGAAGATTGCGAATATGTGTATCGTTAACGTGTTGTCAAAAATGATCGTGCCGATGAGCAAGTTAGAAATGAAACACTTAATTGCTTCGCGTACGGTCGCACAATTTTCCCTATGATTGATGCACGTCATTCGACCATATGCTAAAGTGCATTTGTAGAGGATTGTGCATACAGGATGCAGTAGGACAGAGTACGATGCATCGTCTCTTTATTGGTATGGGCCGCAAACGAGAAGTAAATTGATCGAGACGGAAGCATCGAAGTACGCGCAGTTGAAATTTGACCACGAACCATCTCCTCTTCCGGCTTTCTCCATGCTAACCGTAGTTTCTATTATGCACCGTGCTATGTTCTCGGGTAATATGTGCAACACTGCCACTTCCATAATCCGTTACGTGCACCAAATTTATCTGTAATATGACGAATTAATATGACACTTATTTAACAACTCTAGAAATTATTGTTATGAACTGTTTAATTTCGTCGTTTTTCATCGATGTAAAGCCATACATGGTAGCGTGAAAAGGAACAAAATAGCAGTTTGCTTCGCTACCTCGAGATATCTCTGATAGCATACTCAAATGCACATACATAATGAAAGGAAAAGAAAGAAAAAGAAACAGTTGGTTGATTCCTCGTGTGTTTCCAAGCTCATAGTGATCGTGAGATAATACTATTAGGTTTGGCGATCATGATGTGGTCGGGCGCGAAGTAATTATTCGGATCAACGCGGCGGCGTGCTTTGTCATTGTTATTAGACCGAAATTAATGATGAAATAATCGGCCGGACGTTAATGTCATATACCTCGTGTGTCAGAGTCAGGAAGTAGATAATTAGATAATCATCTAAATTTCATCGTGGTCATTCTTTTCAGAAAGAGAGAATATACTTTGTCGCTTTGCAGAAAGTAATGATTAAGCATTTACGAACATAAATTTATATGAACTTTTTTCCTCGCAACATTTTTCAAGCTCCAAACGTATGCCTTGTATCTGAAAATACTAAAAATATACGCGACGTAATCCAAATATATAGACTTTTTCATCATAGCAGCCTTTCAATGTTCTCATATTTTTTGGATATGCACGAGCTACGCGATTTATGGAATTCGCTTGTACATGCCAACCAACGTTTCAATCGAAAACGCCGGAATTTTATCTCCCTACATTAGCTGTTTGGGACATCGCGCGTACATTACATAAGTAATGTTTCCTTGAAAAATGTTGAAAATCGCGTATGCTTTGTCGTGATAAAGTTCTTTTATGTATAGACGTATAGATGTAGAAAAAGAAAGAAAGAAAGAAAGAAAGAAAGAAAGAAAGAAAGAAAGAAAGAGAGATAAAATGTTTTCTAACCTACAAACATTCGCTCAGTAATGAAAAAGACATTCGATCGTAATCAAGATATATCTAACACTCGTCATACTAGTTTCGCCAGTTTCAAAAACGCATCACGTGAATATATTTGCATAGGAATGAGCTGACGTCATTTGCATTCGCGTTTCGCGCCACCAATCGTCGTAGAACGAGAGCGAGGAATTCAGCGAAGAAAAGAAAACGAGGGAAGGCAACGGGAGAGAGATACTTCCTCTATTCCAATAACCAAGATTCGCGTATAAATATGTATTTCTCGGGGAGATATTTAATTATTCCGCGTGAACGTACACTCACTTTTTCCGCTTCCTCTTTTACCTTTTCATTTCTTTCGCTCGAACTCGTTTCACTCCCGTTTCTTCTTTTTTCCTCCTCTTTTTCTTTTTCTTTTTCTTTTTCGTTTTTTTTTTCTATTACTTTCTGTTCTTCTGTTATGCTTTATTCCACTACTAACGTTCCTCATAGCAAGTTAATGAAAATGTCACAAAGATATGCACGGACACCGTTGCAAGCAAGGGAGAATACACCGCGACAGCTGTAATCAATTATCTACAATTTACGAGGCTCAATTTACTTGGTTCGCACAATGCCCTGCGGATACGGAAACTATGAGCGCGATGTAAGGTCGTAAAGTCACTGAATCGCTTTTATCCGGCACGTCTCTCTTTCTGTTCGTTCTCGATCTCACGTGGTTCACCCTTTTTATCGCGATATTGCCCGCGACAACATCAACTTGCTATAATTTTCCTAACACTTCACTGAACGTTTGACGCCATTGAAAAAAAAAAAAAAAAAAAACAAAAAAAGAAGAGAAATAAGAGAAATAAGAAAAAGAAAAAATTGATAATCCTTTGAAAGCACGCGTAACCACCGAGCAATAACCGAAGCAAGAAGAAAAAGCATTTGGAAACACCGAGGGTAAGGGTCAGTGGAACAATGAAAACGGCGGTAACAAGAAGAAGGTAGCAGACGCTCGGGACTGAGAGCAGTCCATTGTTGTACCGGTTGGTTTCTCGATAGCACGCTCAGTGTTCTTTCTCAGAGTATATACGACACTTCGAGGCCGATGGCACTTCTACGAACGGCTGACCCGACAATAGAACACTCCACTCGAGGGGAACCGTTCCTATGCTAACAGCCTTTCACGCCAAGTGCAGAGGTGCCTCCAACGGGGAACTCTATCTATGACCACTTTTGCCAGTATATACTCTCCCCGATCTTTCCACCCTGGAATAGGATGCAAGCACGAAAAACTATTCCAATATCCGGAATAAATAGCTTTGTTAGACTTTTTTTTTCTTATCGGCGACTTTTTCATGATAAATCAGACATTAGTTTAGTATCTTGTAGATGATTCAGGGAGAGAAAGAGGAATGAGTTTCTCGCAAGTT